TTTGACGGCAGCCTGCTACCACACCTGCCCAAACGCTGTCTGCCATGGATGGGTTACAGTGGCTGCAGGAGCTGTACCTTGGCTAGAGGTAATATGACTCTACCTAAAGATGGCCGCCAGTGACCCCCTTCGCAGAGCGGGCAAACGCGATCCAGCAATTGTCATTGAGATCAGTGAACAAGGCACTGCAGTTGCTTGTCTGCTAAATACACCGGCTCTCGGCGTCGTATGCTCGTTCGTTGGCGGCAGCTGGCGTCGCGACTGCTTGCGCCATGTCTCGTCTCCCGTGCGAAACGGTGCCGTGTTGTTTGAAGATCGGTGACGTCGCTGGATTTCCATACACTCTCAAGAAAAAAGGGTGTCAAAAGGTGTATTGTTACACCCTTTGTCCCATATAATACACCCCAGAATTTCAATTCGACGTACAGTGCCCTACAGTCGAACAGAGGGCCCGAAACTTTACGAGGGGCTTGATAGCCGTGTGGTTCAACTTATTAAAATAGATAATGTACAGATCAAGGACCACATAAAGAAAAAACCGAGTTTTGGAGTAGGGCCCAGAAAACCCGGGTTATTTTTTTGTGTTCAGTAAAACGTACATTAGCTATTTTAATAGGTTGTACTACACGGCTATCAAAGTCCTCCTAAAATTTCGGGCCGTCTGTTCGACTGTAGGGCGCTGTATGTCGAATTGAAATTTGGGGGTGTATTATATGGGACAAAGGGTGTAAGAATACACCTTTTGACACCCTTTTTTCTTGAGAGTGTAGGAGCTAAGCCTGTTTCTTTCTTTACTTTTTCCTCGGGTAAAATAGCTCTTTGAAAATTTCACAAAAAAAAAAAAAGCGCCATCTGTGGGCAACGCTGCACAAAGTCGTAGCGCGACAGGTTAAGAAACCGAATTTTGTGGTCGATTTAAAGAGCCTGGCGTCTCCTTGAATAGCCCTGTACGTGGTGATCGAATTGTCATATACCGAATCGCAATGTATGAGAAAATGTGGGTCTTTATGGCGCTCTTTTATAGTCACAATGGTTAATAATGTGTCAGATGGTCATGTCACGGCATGGTGTCAAGACATGCGGTGTTTTACTCTGCCAAACAGCGAACAAAAAAGTCCGTTTGCGCAGACTCAACAAATGACGTAATTTCGAGTATCTTCTTCTCATGTCGGTCTCAAGTGGTCATGTGAACTTCATGCAGTCGAATTTATTAATAATAATACAAATCTATTTACTGACTTAAGATTTGGCAACATAAATAAATGCCAATGGCCTTAAAGATATACATCATTAGTAAATGCACCCACAAATTGTCTGAAATATCTCCTGCGAGTATTTTCTGGCGTTTTTATCCTCGATAAGCACGTGTATAAGTGATTTGGGAGAGCCTTAAACAAATTTCTGAGTTTGTAGATGATTTAAATAACTACGTGTTTCCGACTCATAAATGTGTTTCTGAAACATAAATGTGTTCCTGACATATGTGTTCCTGACACAAACTATAATGAGTGCGCACGTAGACGTCAAGAAGAGACTAATTAAGTAGCTGCAATGTCGAGTAGAGTTGGGAATACTACTTTTGTTCTATTTAACTAGAAATCAGAAATTTCCAGTGGTGAAGCTTATTTGCTAATTACATTGATCGGCATCTTGTCAAGAACAAACATAAACGCCAGGATATGGGGAAAATATTCGCTTGTGTGGGCGCCATTGAAGGGCATATTGGATCTGGGTGCGAAGGTGGGTATAGATTAGAGTAAGGAACTTTGATCACTCTTTTCTGGATGATTTTTCGCCTACATCACGGTTCTGAGAGCAAACAATGTTGGTCACAAAAAAAAAAAAAACGTTGTGATTGCCACTGAATATCTTTAAAAACGTAGAATGAAATGGATTGTCCTAAAACTTTCGTGGCATTTTGAAAATAGTGTTGCTTCTAGCTTAGTTGCGCCGTCATCCTTTATATTATGAAACGTATTTCCTAAACTAGATTTCACGATATGTATGGCGAGGAGGTGCCAATTCTATGATTTTATGCACTGTAATTAATTTCTGAGTTCAAGAGAACAACTAATATTCAACTTTTAATACTGCGACGCAAATTCGTACCAATCACGGGGATTGTAGGCGACCTACCAGACTGATGACCTTTCGATTTAAGTAAAATATATGCGACTGAGGTAAAAAAATAGATGTTGAATCATATAAACACGACTTTTTTATGGTAATTTAGCTTTTATTTGACTGTTTCGTTGATATTAAATAGCGTTTTTTTCTTATTTTTAAAGTGGATTGTACGAATAATAAAAAAAAATGTATAGTTACTCGTTTCACGGTTTAAATAGTGCCTATTGCCGAAACAGCGCAGAAAATATATTCACATTTAGTGGCTCAAACCGGTTTCAACCGGTTTGAACCGTTATTTTCGCTCCCTGGAACTGAACCAGAATTGAAAATAAAAGGACTATGCACTAAGTGCGCACGGTAAACCCGTTGCAGACCATCTAAACGAAATATCTTATTTGGACCCCAAAGTAACCGTTGTGGGATATACACCGAAAAGTACGGTAAATTATCACCCAATATCTTTAGAAACCATACTGCTTTATTACAAAAAACGAAGAAAGCAGAAATACTTAAACTATACTTAAATATAATTTAGGGAGCGCTAGAGGATCATCAGCTGTCGTTTCTAAAAGCATGGGATGACCGTACGCAAATTATTTTTTTTAGTATACTTTTCAGTCCTAAAGAAATATCAAACCTGCACATGCGAGTGCTAGAGGTGTTTAAAATCCACTGCGTCGTTTGCAGGTGTTACTTCTATGTAACCATATACTTGTTCTGAACGGTTACACAAATACGCGCTCGCCAGTAATATATTGGCACGTGCACATTTATGTTGTAGTCGTGTTGAAACCAATGTTAGTGATACAGGCGTTCGATTTGTTCTTTGTGTATGAGCGTTGATTGAAGGGTATACAGTCTAGACGAACACCGTTACTTTGCTGTGATTTAAAGTGCCTGATGCAATCCCTGATTTTTACTGTCGACAGGGTACGAATGCTTAAATGTAAGTAATACCTGTGCCGCAGGGTTGGGCAGTATCGCGATACAAATGTATCGCGATAGTATTTCAGAAATACATTTCGTATCTGTATTTCTGTATCGCGATACATTTTTTTTTACCGGTATCTCTATTCCTGTATCGAAATACATTTGGAATGTTTCTTTGTATCGCGATACAATCAGGAGGAAATGTATTTCGTTACATTTCTTGACAAATACTCCCCCCCCCCCCCCGAAAAAAAACAAAGAAAAACAAGGCTGAACGCATTTTTTTTTTTTTTTTTTTTACTTCTGAGGGCACCAGAGTCAAGGAGATGCTGGGGTATTGTTACTATGCTGACCAAGGATTCTTTTGATTCTGCAAACTATTTTTCTATACGTCATCTTCCCTCTTCTGAGAAGTGTTGCGTAGTCGGGGACTCGAACCAGGTGGCGTGCCAGGAGTGGAGTCAGAGCATCTTCTGCCGCAGGTCCTTAGGTGGGAATTTCTTGAGTCATTGTTTCCTGGCAACCAATGCCCGCTGCTAACCGTCTCTCTCACCTTAGCGTACAGAGTACACCCAGCCGGCAAAGCTGAGTCACATTCCGTTGCAGCACGAGCCAGGTGGTGGTTGACTTGAAATAGTAGGAAGACTCACGCTGTGAAGTTCAACACATATTCGAATGAATCTGCGGCTGCGCCCGTAACATTGCACGGCTCAAGGGTACGTCATCAGCCGACGTGAACGTGACCCGCTGCTCTGGTGATACGAAACCCAGAAGGAGGCCAGAAGTGGCCTTGCTGTGCCATCCCGAACTATGTACTCTCGCGACTAGACTCGAGACCGCTGTTTCTTGGAGAGCTCGCACCTGTGCCGGCAATATCAGCTCGCAATCCACGAGGTCTCTGTTTGGATAATGATAGGCAAAACTTGAGGACTGCAATCCGCGCGTCGGTGGCGGAGGGTCGGTAGTAAGGACCTTCAGAACAGGGATGCTACCGTATCGTTTCTTCGACTGTAAAACAGAAGATAAGACATGTATTCCAAGATGCTTCAGGTGGTCCACTATTCTCAAAAATTACAAATGACACTGCATGCATGATCTTCAGCTAGGTAGCCTAAAACGAAAACACGCATTGTCCTTCCACACAGCAGCGTGGTAAAGTTTCATGTTCAAGGCCACACCTACAGATAAAGAATTCTAGTTCACTCCACCGTGACATAATGTGATCAATGTTGACAGAATTCCCTCGTCAGACAGACAGGATGTCATGGAAGGGACCGCGGTCAACAATTGTTGGAACTTTTTTTTTGGGCCCATTGAAGACTCCTTGTCCGAAACCTCTACCTTCAAGGCAAAATGCCAAGCCTAGAGAAAAGTAATTTCAGGATCGAAAACATCCACTTCAAACTTCAAGCTTCATCACAGTTGGCGTCTCAAAAAAATTTGGAAAATGTATTGCAGTATCAGTATTTCTGTATTTGTATTTCTGCCCTTCCTAAAATGTATTCCTGTATTTGTATTTCCAAATACTTTTTGCCTCTTTTTAAAATGTATTTCCAATACGTATCGCGATAAATTTTTACAGATGTATCTTAGTATCAGTATTTTAGCTGCTATTTCAATGTATCCCAGTATTTGTATTTCCAAATACATTTTTGAGTATTTCTGCCCAACCCTGCTGTGCCGCATGGTCAACTCGAATGCCATTTATAACGAATGACTTTTGAAGGATCGGCCAATCAGCGCGCGACACCCCGAGCGTGGAGCGTTCCACGCGCGACAGATCGCGAGCCCATTCGTCGATCACGCGAATGTCATTCGTTGTCAATGCTATTCGAGTTGCCCGTGTGGAACGGGTATAAGTGGCCTATTTAGTTGGCCCTGCCGTGCGTCTTCTCCTAGTATTGAGGAAATAAATAAGAAATGTTTTGTTTTGATGATTGCAGGTCCTAGAAGAAACGTCAACTAATACGTATTTTCTGTTGTTTCGCGCGGCTGTTCCCGTTGAAAAGAAATGTGTCTTCGCAACAGCTAATATCACAGACAAAACCGACAAAACCGCCACTCACACAATAACGATTTACGATACGAAAAAAAGGAAATAGTAAGTACGTTACTACTCAGCTGAATAATAATAATAATAATAATAATAATAATATTATTATTATTATTATTATTATTATTATTATTATTATTATTATTATTATTATTATTATTATTATTATTGATCGTTTATTCATAACTGCCGCTGTCTCCAAGTGTGTTATTGGGGCCGATCAAAACCAGCAGGGGTTTGTGGGACCGGACCCCGATTTAAAAATAAAACAAGTCGAAACTCGCACAGTCCCTCGTGCACAAAAAAAACAAAAACAAAAAAGCTTTACAGAAGTCAAGTTTTGCACACAAAAAGTTTACATAAAAAATTGATACAGGTCGGGCTTTGCGGGCTTACGTGCACAAAAAAAGACCCTGCAAAGAAAGACCCCAAACGTCGGAAATTGATCTTTGAAGTTCGCTTTTTAGTTTCAAAACGATAAAGGCGTCTGGTATCGATGGCATCAGTGCAAATGATCTGCGCCGAAATTATGATTCTATGAAACTTCTGCTCCTTCACATGTTAAATGGTTTCATTCTCTTCTGAATGATCGCGGATGCTTTGAAGGGCGCACTAGTGAAGCCACTATTTCAAAGGGGAGAGCACAAAAAAACTTCACAATTATCGACGGATTTCCATTTTGCCTTGTGTTAAACAAATCTTAGAAAAACACATTTTCCAAAATATGACAGCCTTTCTTGATCGCTTTAGCATTATGTCGCCCAATCAATATGGATTTGTCAATGGGTGTGGGAGCCAGCGACCTCAGAAAAATTTTGCAGACGAATTGCATCCAGTCTCCTTCTCTTTCTCAGTTTCTCGGCGCATATGTTTTAAAATTAATTTGCTCGTAAATTATATTATTTACAGCGAGAATGCCACAATACAAGTGAGAGCTCTGAATCAAGCTGACTACCCGCTTGAAAACGTTATAAGGGCCAACTTCAAAGGTATGTAAAAACTTTAACCACGCTTTAAGGTTGAGGGGGGGGGGGGGGACGGTGGGGAGTATAGCCTGGTAGCATAAACCTTTGACCCTTCATTCAAATTTATTCAAATTTTCAGGACGAATTAAGCCCTATTAGGAATTATAAATTCCATAGTTTCAGCCTCTTACACCAATTATACAGCATCTTAGGCTTCTCAAGCTCCAGAAAAGAAGTGACTTCATTAGCAAATGTGTTAAAGAAAAATTGTAATTTCAATCCAAAGAATTATATTTAATCTGAAGTAAAGTGCACATAGTACTAGTTAAGGTAACTACAAATTGTAGAAAAAAAGTTAATTTTAGAAAAAAAGAACACGATAAAATAAAAAATAAACATTCACAAAATGTTTATTGTGAGAGCTTTTTCTCTTAGATTGAGTACTTTATGATGATAATGCAATTAAATGCAAAGGCGCAAGCGGTACCCGGACCAGGCGGATTTTTTCGGGTGCGCCAGTCACCTAGCTGTGTTCGGAGATTTGTGTTTGTCCTTTGTCCCTCTTTTTCCCCTTCTCCAGGGATTATTTTCGTCAGTGAGTACTTTAAGTTCTTCAGAAAATTTTAGTTCAGAATACACCTAAATTAAGGTTTTACGCTATCAGAACATCCAATGATAACACATCCTGCTAAAAAGTGAAGCTGAGAAAAATGCATTTGAAGTTTCAACGACAGATTTCTCTAGTGTTTTGAGTGTGAGGCTTACAGAATTCACATGAAGCATGGAGCACCTTCTTTTCTGAAACCTCGTTGTCCTTATAAACGAAGCAAGCCATCTTTGATAGCAGGCATTCGTCTACAAATAAACTGCCGAGAACAAAGAGGCAAATGATACTAAAGAGCCGCAAAGTAGCAATCTGAATGGAATTTGAAGATAATGTAAACAGGTCACTTTTAAAGATAACACACTATCACGTCACCGGGCAGGACCAATTGTAAGCCCTGTTTCGGATCTCCAACAGTAAAATTGCTCATACAATTTTTTTTTTTTTACATTTAGTCTGTTTGTATTAATGGGGTTGTCCTGGGCATTAATCATTTAAAACTTGAAAAACGGCGACAGGCTAAATCTAGAGAACGAGGTGCTTCCAAGGAGGGTTAGATGTTCGGCCTATGTTACACGAGAACGAAATAGCCCTAATTAAGAAAGTGCAAATTTCCTCCCTGATGCTTTGGAGGGCTGCCGACGTGCCGAACAAAAAATATATATATAGAGAGAGAAGCGAGCAAAACAAGCAGATCTTCTGAAAAACAAAATGCTGTTTTTATTTTTAGTTTTTTTTTTTTTACTTTGGTGACTTTTGAACTTGTGCTAGTTTTCTGTCTAATCTTTTTCTCAATAAAGAATATTTTCAAATCACACTTGAAATAAACAGAACGAGGACCTACATTCATATGGCGAGGCTATCTGTCGTTTCAATATCACTTTTTAACTATGGAAATTCGTGCACCTTAGCCCGATTCTTTATATATATGCATATATATATATATAGAGAGAGAGAGAGAGACAGATTCCTTTAATTTACCCAAGGTGAAACACGGTGTTGGGTAAATATTGGTTTATATCTAAAATGTTCGGTTGGATGACGGACCGGACTTTCCAAAATAAACCAGTATGAGTAAATAGTGAAACCTGCTTGCTTTGACTGGGCCATTATTACAAATATTGCCCCACCATCGTGCTCATGTTCGTCCATCGTCGGTTTGTGTAGGCCACATCTAACCATAATGCTACGTTCAGGCAATATCTTAAGGCAATGTCTTCAGGCAATATCTTAAGGCAATGTCTTAAACCAAACCGAGTCCTGATTAACTCCCGCGTCAGAGATGATCTCCCGAGGTTTTCAGGTGAACTCTAAAGGCCCGTTGACACCCTTGCGACGGAGTACGACCGAGAGAGACCAGACCGTTTTTTAAGCCTCTTGCGATCTCTTAGGACCAGCTCCGCTGCAACGCATCCGGTCCTAAGAAATCGTAAAAGGCTTAACAACAGGTCTGGTCTCTCCCGGTCGTACTCGGTCGCAAGAGTGTGAACGGGCCTTAAGATACTGAAGGTCCCGCTACCATGAGAAGAAAGCTAGGGCTTGGTGTTTAGGGGATACGTTCAGTGTGGGTCATACGGAAACAAAATTTACAACGTAATAAATTAAAAAACAAAACACGAAAACTCTCTTTCCTAATACAAGCGTGGAAAACTTTGACCTCAACATTGGTGGCAGTAGAGTCAAAAACTTAACCGATTGAGGATTTCTACTAAAAATAAGAGCGCTCCGAAAAATAGGTAGGTTGTTTTAGCAAAGGTGGATTATATACAACCAATCAATGCGGGTTTGCAGTTGTTCTCCACGGGCAGGCACGGTTGTGGCTTTGAAGCGGCCAGATATGTATCCGGTTGCAGTGGCCTGGCCAGAAAGGTTTATCTGGGGGGTGCAGAGATGGCTCGGATCTTGATGACTTGGGATGTGAGGGCAAGGGGAGGTGGAGGGGGTGTAATAATATCTGTGTATATTATAGGTCGGCTGAATGTTGAGGTGGGGGAGGGGAGGCTGAAGCCCCTTAAGTTCCTCCCCTGGCAACGTCACAGCCTGGTTGTACCTGCTAATATTAGCCCATTTTGGTGCCACTATCGTCGGAACTAGCTTCACTACAGAGCTGTAAAAGTTACTTATGACAGCTAATTAGGCTACAGTTGCAGTTACCTGAGTTTATATGGAGTTAAGTCACACTTACACACTTACAATTGTAACTCGTTAAAGTTAGTTTTCAAAAAAAATGAAACTAAGTTATACATCCCAGGTACTTCACTCTAATCTATTAATTTAGTTCTAAAAAAAACTATCTGCTCTGAACTGACATTTTGAACCCTGGAGAGTGGGGAAACAAAGTGGGAAAGCCATTTATTGCACTCTGAGCTAAGTTTTCATTCTAAAATTGTAGAGCGGGGAGTTGTTAAGTTTGTGCTAATGAACTCAACAAAGTTTTCTAGTGCTCACCGTTTGGGCACCGGTTTGGTAAAGCAGCTTGTAGATTGTTCTTCGCGAAATACAGCAGGGCGTTCGTGTTTACGGTCATCCGTCATTTCCTAAAAATTCAAACTTACGGAAAGGCGTCGGAGTAGAGAAAAGTTCCGTAAGATCCCCAGAAATGACCCACCTTTGAAAAATAATGCACGCTTATTTTTTGACGATTTGCTATTTTCATAAATCGCCGAAGGATAGCCTACTTTGTAATTGCAGGGTCTTGGCCTATCATCACCTCGGCTGAAATATGGTGTTACCTAGACACGGCGAGAGATAAGCGAACATTGCTGACTGGGAAGGAGAGTTGTCTTTTGTTCCTCGCCCCTCATTGCGATTACAAGTTTCGTAGATCCCGAAATCTAAAAATAACATTTTTTTTTCAACATTTTTTTGATCGCACACCCAAAGTTAGACCACCCATTATTTCACCCTATTTGCTTTTGACTTTAGGTGGGCTAACTATCGGGATGTTACGGTCGTTTTTTTTTTTTTTTTTTGCTTGCCGCATCTCCGTGGTGTTTCCAATAACCTCAAAGCGCTAGTGAAGACGTTTGGTGCGACAGCTGTTTTTCAACTCAATTTTCGGATCGACCGGCTTACACTTCTTTCGTCACAGAAGGCTGATTCTAACAAAAGTCAAAAACCCTCTTCTGAATTGCGATCTGGGTGTAGTTGGGAAACGTTCTGTGAAGTTCGGTTCTTGCTATGTGAGTCAGACAGCTAGATGTCTTAATGACAGGTTAACTAAATACAAACGAGCGCAGAAAGACGAATCCGTAGGTTCAGAATAAGAAAATCTTCTCTCTTCATGGAGCAATTGTGTCGTTGTTCGGAAAGATAGTGAAGTGCCCCACTGGGAAAGGGATTGCTACAAATATTGAGTGAAAGTGTTGTTGATGATGGGCAGGCACGCTATTTGTTTTAGCAACATGTTTGTTTCTCTAAACATTAGCATGAAAGCGTTTCTTAATCTAAGACATTTTCTTTTTTGTGGCTGTGTTAGAATTCGGTTAACCTCATTCCTTTTTGTTGTTTAGTGATCGTTCGGTGTTTGACTTTTACTTGGTCCTCAGTTGTTTGTGTTGTTATGAGGATGTGATCTATCATTTCCTTTCTGCGGGATCTCGTTTGGGCGTTCAAATGCACTATGGATACGAGTACCTTGCTTGGGTACGCGTGACATCATCGCTTTAATCATTATGTTCTTTTCATCTGTTCGTTTTTTTTTTCTTTTTGTTTTGGTTGCCTATTTAAGGTTGTGTTTTGTCAAATAAACGTCAGTTGTGTGTATAGATTCGTGTTGTCCTGTCCCTACGTTTCCCGCTTAACCTTAACCAGCTCGTCTGCACCCTTGGATTTAAATTTGTTCAAACCCGTTCGATATGGATCATGATACCCTGTCATTTTCTTATGCACTTGAGAACAGATGCAGCAAAAAAGCTTTAGCGGGTTGCATTCGCGATCATCGTACTCGTTGCATTTACTAAACTGCGGTTATATATGTTAGCCTGTTTAAGACAATCGTCTCATGAATTTAATTACCGATAGTGTTAACCGTTTCTTCCAGTTCCAAACGTGCTGCTCACTCCGAAATGTTGATATATTAGCATTTTCAATCAAGTCAAGCTGTATATTTATCACTCAAAATTAACAAATTCCAGTGTCATGTGAAGTCAACCCAGTAATTATTCAAATAATCTCACCGACAGGGCCTTCCGCAGATTTGAAGTGCTCGACGATAATGCTCAGAAGTTAAAATTCGGAAAGTAATTGTAACTAAACCAAGTTACAAGTAACACAAAAATTACTAAGTTCCATTTATAACGCATGTAAGCCAATGCTTTTAAGGCACATTAGACGTCCCCAAAAAATCAGTTTCTCAATGTATCGCACTGCGATTTACTCCAAAGGTGCAAGCATGCAGTGGAAGGCTACATTGAAAAAATCCAGGAACGAACTTACCTTGTTAAAAAAAAAAAAAAAAATGAACGACGTTTACAAATCTCTATTGCGAACTTAGAGCGCGGCTCTTGTAGGGGACCAGGAGAGGGTACCAAGCAGAGTGTATGCCCCCCATACCCTCCCCTCCCCCTCTCCTCCTCCTCATCTCCCGTCTTCCTTTAATCCTTCTTCACTCCCCTCTTCCACTATGTACCCTCCCATCCTCCTCCTCCCACAGTTTTCCCGCTGGATTTAGCCGGAAAAATGACGCCACTTGACTTCAACACCAATTCAGGTCCCTCGCTAAATTTAGAGCTGAAAATGACGCCACATGACTTCGTGTCACATCAACCATAAACAAATTGAGTTTTTCTGCCAGATTTAGCAGGAAACCTGACGTCACGTGACCAGAACACCAATTCAATTTCTCGCTAAATTTAGCGGGGTGGTTAAACCGACGGCGACACCGACGGCTACGCCCAATGCGGGGAAACAGGCGCCTAAGAGCTGCGCTTAGTGCGAATGCATTAACTCTCCCATGGAGCGAGCCTACGTCCTCGGCTTCGAAGCCGTGCCAAACGGCATCTTAAATTTTTTCTCCAAGTGAAGCCAGCTCCCAGCTACGAAAGCAAGCGAAAAGCCTAGCCAAACGGCACCTAGTTTCCCCTAAGCCAAAGGAGCGGAGTAAAGCTGGTGGGTTTTGGCTCTTTCTTTTCCTTTTAAACCACGTAACATCATTTGTTGATTTTTTTTTTTCGTTGTAAAATTTCATTACCTGCTTGTACCTCTGTAGAAGGTCGCAGCGCGATACGTTGCGAAACTGATTTTTGTAGGTGGTCTATATTTTTTTTTCAAAGCGTTTTTTTACATGATGTTGTTGCAAACGTTTTATTGTAACTTGAAAAAGTATTTAGTAAGAAAAAATTTAACTAACTACAGTAACTCCAAATAGATGTAATTAATTTCTTTACTGCTTCGCTTCAATGTCAGTTCAGGATTACCGCGCAGCCAGGGAGGATTTCAGATGCCCAATCGTCTAAACTATATTAAAAGTGCGTTAATTTGCTTTTGTACCCCAAAATCAGGAACACTCCCAAACGCTACTCCAGTTCCCCCAGGAAGCTACACGTACGCTGAGAATGATAACTCCATCTGCTATTCCAGAAGTACTCCCTTTCCTGATAGGGGTAAGTTCAGGTTTAATGTTCGACAAGCGTTGACCATGTTTTTGTTAGTGGTGCATTCAGTTTGAATTCCGAAAATGATTTTCTCACTCAGGTAATGCTGTAGATTCTCGTCAGAGTGCACGAAACTATGGTAATTCTAAGAAGAATGTTCTAGATGAATTGTTCCCCTCTCCGGAAAGTGCTGACTATGCTGACATGTACGTCGTATACAACGAGCCGCAATGTTATATCCTTAGGAGTCCCGCAGCCAAAGGAGGTAAGTTCATTAATACCTTAGCGACACAAATGTCATATCGTCTTGTTTTTCGCTAATTTAAATTATCAGTTTAGCAGATACCGTTTGCTTTATAACAGAAGAACAAACAGCGAAATTAAGGTTGCTTAAAATGGGAGTCTTGAATAAAACGAGCTGTCCATGGAGACGTATTACGAAGGATTTACTTTGCGATGCTTTTTTAAGGTTTCGCGCTTAGAAGGCTTCCGACATGTGTAGGATAAACCCCACGTTTCGCGGTATGTTCATTGCACAGAGGTCGTGTCTAAACCCGTTGGTAATTTTCGGTGCCTCGAAGGTTCTGATCCATGGGTATAGGTTAACCTAAACAGAGATACTATTGGTACCAACGTTTTGTTTCAACTAAAAACGAGTGCTCCCTACATTGCCCAGTATCACGCACAATTAACGATTGTTCAATTACGATTGCAGAAGGTGACTTCGCAGGACTGTAGTGAAATGTATTACACTGCAGGTGTCGTGTGCGATTTCAAATACATTCGGAATGCTAGTGCAACTTAATTTCTGGGTAATTTCGTGATAAGTGGGAAACTTGCAAGATAATTGAGGATGAGAGGTGGGTCCTAGTACGAAACAACAAAGCATAATAGATGTTTTATGCATCGCTTGTGCAACAAATACCTAAAAGTGAATAGTCCACTTCAGCGATAACATGAAGATTTAATTTATGAGGAGAACACCATCCGCCATTTTAGCCTCCCGGCGATCGAAAAATATGCGTCTATTCTTGTCTCACCATAGCTTGGCAAACGGCGAAGGCTACTGCCCGAGTGAACCAATCAAAGCGTCGGAAAAAGAAACGTAACAACACTTTATTTCACTAGTTATACGCCATGAAAAATTCCCGCTTGGTCCAATTGTCGCATTACGGCCAAGAGTGCATTAGTACCCAGAAGGGCGGAAAGGCCGGGAGTGTCTGTGAAGCCGAGTAGGGCGTAAGGGCCGCGAACTGCATTAAGGCCGATAGTCTTGAATGGACTGGTGCGGAAGCCTTTTCGGGGCTCGCGTTGTGGTTGACGACTTTAGTTGCCATCAAATAAGATAGATGGCGCCACATTGAACAAGACGGATGCAACGCCATACTCAGTGTCACAACTCAGACTTCACTTTTAGGCTTAACGTATTTTCAATCTCGTCATACGCCGAGGTCTCTTCGCAGATTTCAATATTGGCGCTCCGAGTAGGATGCGGGAAACTAGATGTATTGGCATTTTTAAGAGTGTATCTGTCGGTGACTGCAAATACTGCGGTTTTGGGTTTGTTTCACCATTCACCGCCAGCACCAGTCGGCACGGCGACATTGCCTAGCCGAATATTTTATTTATTGATTTCCTTTTCTGCTCATTATCATTTCTTATTCCATCGAGCAGTAGCTCCTTTGTCTACATATTTTTATTATTACACGCACACGCACACATTCACGCACGCGCGCACACACGCACACACGCACATCCGCCCGCACGCACGCACGCAGGCGCAAACGAATTTAAAAATCGACTTTATTAGATATTATGTTATAGTATTATAATATTAGAGATAGAATTATAATTATAATTATAAATAATAATACAATAAATAAAAATATTAATAATAATATTATTAATAAAAGCTCAGTAAAAAAGTTATTGGGTCTTTTTAATTTTTAGCACTTTAAATAAATTAATGATGTGTCCTTGTTCTACCTGGCGGCCGCGAAAACGATGAGTGAGGTGTATTTTAGAAATTTCATTTTCAATCTCTTTACAGCGAAACGCTGAAGGAAACACATGCATGCAGGCTAGGAAATATAACAAAAAAAAAAAAAAAAACACATGGACAATGCTAAAAAGAAAACCTGGCCTCCAAATCTTTTCTCGCCTAGCTTTTTAGCCCCAGCAGCCAGGACACTTAATCAAGGAAGGCGTTCATGTTGTCTGCGAACTCGTGCAGTAGTTTTGACATGGCTGCCACTCCCATTCCTGCTGCGGCGTTGATGCAGCTCCACTCTCGCGCCAGTTTCGTCTTCTGGGTGCAGATGGAGTCGATTGCCACGTATCTTGGCCTGCTCGTGTAAGGCACTTCTCCGTTGCGGAGACATGCCAAACACGTTTCCGTAAAAAATGAAGCAATAAATAAAAAAACGCAGTATTTGCCGTCACCGAGAGATACAATGTGCACTGAGAAATAAAATAAACATGGGGCGCCATCTTTCTAATATGGAGGCAAATACGGTCGTCAACCACAAAGCAACCCCCCAGGAGGCGGCCACACCAGCCCTTTCAGAGACTATAGAACTTAATGCAGTTGTCGGCAGTTATGCCCTATTCGGCCTCAAATCCATTCCCGGCCCTTCCGGCCCTCTAGGCCGTAATGCACGCTCAGCCGTACTGCAACTATCGGCCTAAATGATAGTGACCCGTACGTGGTGCTGTCAAAGCCATGAGCGGCGCAGAGGAGAAGGCCGGTTTTGTAAAAATTTTGACATACGGGCAAATCTCCGAAGGGGAAAACAGCGACGTCTGGGCCCCACAAAAGTAGGGTTCGGATTAAAAGGGAAGTTCCTTCTTCCACTCCACTCCAACTGCTCGGGTTGCGTTCACGCCCGTCTGACTTTGTTAATGTCTGTCACGTGCTTCAACGTCGTCAATCTGGTTGGCTCGAAGGTGCCGCAGTTCTCGCTCTTTGCCAAGCCAAGGTAAAAATGATGTATGCTGAAGTTTGTTCTTGGGCTTAGCGGACGATAGTCATCCATGTTTCGCACCGCCAGCCTGTTTTGCAGTTGTACCTTTAGCGCACCTCCGCAATATGCATGTCCATTAAGTCCTAAAATTATACAATTTAGTGGTCTTTAATGACCTACAGCAAGTTTCTAATGGGAACCATACGTCTATTTTCACAAACTAAAAGTTACCTAACAAGTTTTAGTCAATTGTCCGACTTGTTATGACAGTTATCCCACAATAATATGACCCCCTGATTTTATTCCTCATCCGCACACAAAACAGTTGTGTAATTTTCACGTCTTTTGGCATCTGTTCCAATTAAAATGAAGCACAATGTATATTTAGTTTACCATATTCTCAAAACAGTCCGAGAGCGTGGTAGAAGTGCAGCTGTCTAGTTACTTCAAATAAATATTCCATTAATCGCAACAAGGTTTCGTAAAGTCGAAAAGTGTTGAAATTAACTTAGCAGTCTATTTGAGTGACGTTGGCTTCATTGGTTGCCTACTATGGGCAGATCGACGCCATTTATTTTGACTTAACCAAAGCATTTGGTCTTGCGCTCCATGACAAGCTACCGGAATATAAGGTGCGTTTGCCGGTATGTTCGTGGTTTCATCGTATCTTTCCTGGCGCATCAACAACGCTCATGTTAACGGTGCGTTATGTAGATCATAGATATCATCTTGCGTTCCTCAAGGTTGTATTCTAGGACCCTTGCCGTTTAACATTTTTCCTATAATGTCTCTTTTAGTATTTCCTTCGATTCGTTGATTATATTAAGATGTTAGACGGACCAAGTCACAGGTTGATTGTGAGCTGCTGTAAGACAAACCTGCTATCTCATCGTGATGAGCAACAAAAAATTACGTCGAAATATTAAAAGACACTTTTTGTTTTTGTCACGGAAGAAATATGCTCTTAATTTCTTTCTATAAACAAGACAATCAACCATTGCGACGTGAATATTTCATACATGACTTAGGAGTTTATATTGATCCATCCTTTAGTTCGATCATCTGTCGAATTCGGTTAGTTCTTGATTGGGGCTTTTAGGTTTGTGTTCGCGTAAACCCGTTATTTTAAAGAGATTTCATGCCACGTCAGGCTTTATAAATGTATTGTTCATTCGAAACTAGAGTTTGGCTCTGCACTTTGGAACTGTCTGGGATCATCCAGCCCTGCTAGCCCAGAACGTGTGAGAGAAAGTTGGCACATATAGAGTACGATTCTTATCACGGCACCCGGTTCTTTTGTAGCTACGCGTCAAGGTTACTTCGGCTAAACTTGGCAATACAGACGCCGGAATTTTCGAGAGTATGCATTTTTGTCTAAACTGCACATAACAGAATACATTGCCTTAGACATGTTTCTTTGCTTTCACTCTATGGCTCTTCCGTGAATTGTCGTTTCCACAGCACTTTCTACGTGCAAGACATGTGTTAACTTCCCATATTTTATTAACTCAAAGTAATCTTAATGCACTGAGTGCGGTAGTTGGCATTTTTGGGAGTGAGTTGGATTTGAAAAGTATCCTAATCATCTACATTTGCAAACATCAGTGCTCAGCTTTTCTGTGTGCTTCGTTATTTTGTGTTTCGTTTTTCTTATGAGGGTGTATGTGTGTGTGTGAATGTGTTCCAAAACTAAAAAGGACTCGGTTGTTTTAGAACACAATAGAAAGAAATATCTAAGAAAACCTAAAAAACATATTGCTTAAAAAATATCACAGGGATGGTTACGGAGCGCTGTGTCAGAATAGTCAGCTTACCTCTGACTATAAAACAAAATTATTCATTGCCTAATCTTGCCACTCTCTTTCAAGAAAAATTGATGCCCATTCAATGAGATATTCCTATCTTATTTAACTTTTTTGGCGTGTGGTGAAATGGCTCGAGTCTGGCGGTTTAAACATGTGACAAAAAAACACTATGCTTATCTCAATTTTGTTTACCTTAGTAACGATTAGTGTTACGACATGATTAACGAAAGCAAAAAAGAACGCGCAAAAAATAGAAACAAAAACAGACATCCAGAAGAGTACTGCACGCGACAAGCGCTGACCGACAACAGACATTTTTATTTTATATTATTGCTTCCACCTGCTGTCCGCGCTGCCACTGCTTTTTGTTTTCAATTGGAGTCCCTTGCTTTCGCGCGTTTGAGTACCTCCACAGTCTCCCAAACCTGTCTGTACCATTTTCGCAATTGATTGGTATTTTGTCGATTTTATAGGATGTGACTTGTGGCTGAGAAAAACCGAGTTGAAAAAAATAGTGGCTGACCTGGAAGATGAAATTATAAGAAAAAAAGAGAAACTCTATAAGGAGGGTAAGGTAGAATGGGGAATCTATGAAAACTGCACTGCGACAGCTTCAGACAAAAAAAGAGTACAAATTTACGTAGATGATGGCCTTCAAAGATGGTGGAACGATGTCGTATGGGAACGGATTTCCGTCGACTGCGTTCTCGCCTTCATGATAAACTGTGGAAAGCCATTCTATAGAGTTTCCGATCCGATAACCTGTAATACCACACTAACAGGGCAATACGTGTCAATTCATTAGAATTGACACGCGTGATTCTCAATTGCATGTCGGATGGTGAGGAAAAGCCGTGTGTACGCAACTTGACATTAAAAAAAAAAAATCTGTCACTGTGTAGTGTCTTGCATCCTTGGAAATAAAATTATTTGGAAAAACCAATGATTTCATTTCGTTCTCAGTGTAAACAAAACAAAAACGTACAGGGTCTTCGAGCAAACTTGCGCCAAGACTTAAAAAAAAACATGGTGCGCGCGACGCGTTTTAAGCGAACGCAGTATTGTTCAATTGAGCAAGTCAGGTCACTTTTTTTAATAGGTCAAGCTCGCTAGTTAACATAAACGAAGTAGCCGAGTTTTTAAATATTATTTTGTGCGCATCCTTTCAACGAAATTGTTCTAGGGCCTGTGGAAAACCATCCGATCGTTTTGTTTTCACTCCATTCGTGCCTAATGATTTCAAGAGTTAAAGAATGCATGGGAATTTTTTTTTTTAAATAATTATTCTAGACAACTAAGGGCGTTCACATTGCAGTTCGCCAGTCGCTAGTTAAGTACGCCATTTTAAATCTCGTGCGAGCTCTTTAAGCTTTTTTAAGGCTAAAAAATTTAGACACACAACAGGACTATGAACTATGCATTGGTTGAACAAGCGCGCACCAGCTTTTTTTTAAGTCTTGGCCCAAGTAAAGACACCCCTATACAGGGTTGCTTATCCGTCCATACCGCCGGACGCCTTCCTCCCGCGACGGGTAGAGGAAGCCAAAGAACCTTGTGGTGTCCCGGACTACAACCCTCAATCGGTTTGAGAACCGGGCTTGACTCTAGGTCGTTTGCTCACCGGCCTCCGTTACTGGCACAAAACCTTTTTTTCTGATAAAAAGAAGACGTTTACAACTCTCTGTAACAAAGAATTAGAGCCCAGCTCTTCAGCTGGAGGAGGGTATGCCCCTCCTTCTCCGTACCCTCTCCTCCTCCCCTCCTCTCCATCACCACCTTCTCCCCTCATCCTCCCTCTCCCGTCCTCTATCCTGCCTCTTCCTCTTATCCTCCTCCCCCTCCTCCTTTTCCTCCTTCCCCTCCCTTCCTCCCCTCCCTTCTTCCTTGTGACGTCACTCGTGACCCTAGTGACCCTCGAGACGTCACTGGTGAAGGTCGTGACCTTCGCGTGACCTTCATTGTGGAGGTGGTGAGCTTTGTCTTGACATTCATGAGGGGATCCGGACATTTCGGTGTCGGATGTTTCGGTGTAGGGCGTTTCGGTGCGGTCTTTTCGGTGCACGGACTTTTCTGTCCACGAACTGTTGGGTGCACGTACGTTTCGGTGCACGGACTTTTCGGTGGACGGACTTACGGTGCACGGCCTTTCCGGTGTTAGACGGTTCGGTGTATAGACGTTTCGTGAACGGATTTTTCTGTGCATGGACATTTCGGTGTAAATATGTGCCTTGATTTATTTTTAGAATTACAATTGAAGTTTTATATCTGAAACTGCATTTTACTTTTCTTTTAACAGCTTGCAACCTCTCCAATGAGAACAACTCTCAATTCTAAAGCAACGTTCTCGGCTCATTGTTTTCTTTTCCTGGTTCTGGCCAGGAAACTCTAAGAACTACAAAGTAGCACTAAAACGTATATTGTTTTATTATTTTTAAAAGTGCAAACCTGAAACCATGTCTGGCTTGAGAACAAAACAATGATCAAGCTTCTACAATAAAAAAGCGGAGTTGCTCACCAAACATTTTGCGCCAGTAGCTCGATGATCCATATTGCTAATATGGCTCCCTAGAATTCTCTAAAACGCAACACCTGCCAAACTCACACAAACTACTGTCGCTATATAAACCATATATAAAACTAATTTTGCATGTCCTTGTGGGTGACCCGGTCAACTCGCCGAAAGTCAATCCATCAAAGAATACTCGAAGGCCAATTTTTTTAAATAAGCCATATGGTCATTGGACAATTTGCGGAGCGAGAAACTCGACGGAAATGCCAATTTGCCCCAGGACAATTTGTTGGGCTCCTGGGGTAGAGTTCGACATGAAATTGCTCTTTCATTATCGGCCTTGCTTATCGTTTTCCCGTCAAGACCTTTCTTTTTTTTTTAACTTGTCTGGAGAGTCCGACGGAGTCGATACTGCATACAAATCTGCAAACAAATATTTAAAATTCAGATTTATTTGTATGCATATTGGTTCCTTGGACGACTTGCAACCAAATCGATACTCTGCCAATATTAAAAAAAAAAAAGAAGTGAGGGCTAATTTAGTTTAGATTTTGTTTGCTGGCCATGAAGTGCACGAGTACGGTAACTTGAGCACTCAAACTCTTCGCTTCGCCGTAAAACATGAGGGATATAATGTGGAGCTGTATGTGTAATCTAGGTTACGTGGAGAATTTTCATCGCCCAAATTTAGAAGATGTTGCGGATCTCATGGCTGACTGCTAGGGATTTCTTTCGTCCATCAAGGATCGAATAAAGCTTCGGCTGGGGTTAGTTGGTTCATACCGAATAAAAGGTGATGAGCGATAAATGAGCGATAAAACATTTTTATTAGTTGTATGTATTTAGGTGATTGGGATCGGGTTTGAAGATGTACGTGTCGTAAGTGCGTCTTTTTTCGTCCTGTTTGCTCGCGCCTTTTAACCTTTTAGTCTATCAAGGTACTGCAAGAAGGATGAGCTTCAACGGCAGCCGAGTTAGAAGAATGGATATTACACCTTTCGGCAAGATATCCAGTGAAATAAGTTGATTCTGTGCAGTAAAAGTTTTAAACACCAACAGGTGCGTTTATTTCGTCGAACGAGTTACAGAAATCTGTCCTTTAAAGCAAAACATGCTTGTCAGTGGGGCCACGTTCACATGTTTCATAGATCTCTCCGACATATAATACAACCTCGTCCATTCACGAAAACTTGTCAAAAAACACCTAAAACCTACATTACGGACAACGCCCCTGAGGAATCGCCCGTCCTGCTTGCGGTCGTAGTCCCTTTAAAGCGTCTGCAAGAGCTCCGCAGCCTTGTCATATTTTTGGGTTGCTTGAACCGGCGGCCCATTTCCAGTTGCCCAAGCCGGTGCAGCTGCCTCTGCAGCACCTCCAGAAACCTCCATAGGCTTAGGTGGGGGCACTGCAGGTGGGCCTGAAATCCCCGGTGCCAAGCCTCTACTGAGTTCGTGGTCTTGGGGTCGCTCTGTACAGCGGTCTCGTGGTGGTTTCATAGTTCCACCGAGAACTGGCCGTCTCGCCGTCCTCGAGCTGCCGGCCGGCCGATAAAAACATCTCGAAGTACTCCAGTACCGGGAGCAACTACGTGCGGATGGTGGTCGCCAGTTCGGCGAACACGACCACCACGTCTTCCCGGTGGACAATTGATGGAGCTGGGACCATCCTAGGCTCTAAGTTAATCTGGGTTAATCTGGGAATCAAACGCATACAAGTCCTGTAGTCCGTCCGAATGAATCCTACAGTCCTTCCTTAGGGGAGGAACGGTCTTGTTAGCTATGTTCCTTTAGAAAGGGAGACTTTCGTCCCTGAAGCAGGGGAGCAAAGTTCCTCCTTCGCTTGCATCTCAATATGGCGGCCCCGAATCGAGCAAATCGCGCCCAATAAGGCTTGACGAGGACGCTACGTCTCTTGTACGGGATGAGAGGAGCAGCAAAAAAAAGCGTACACGAGCTTTCCGCAAACTGTGTTTATTTCCGAAGCCAGATTCCCCCCACAGGTACAGAAACTTGTGTTTCGAAAGCAGTTACTCAGTCTTCTCGTCGACAGCACTGCGATTTTACACGGAGACAACCGATACCCAGTTACTTCGCGTACTTTGCGTCTTACCTTTGGTGTTCCTCAAGTCACAATTCCTTCGTCAACCGCACATCACGGAGAAGGGCAAACTTAATCCGCAAAACCAAAAGCCGCCCTCGAAAGAACAAACTCAAAGCCGCTGTTTATCGCGTAGCGTGAAAAAAGGTTTAATCGCTAGCCGCCAGATGGCGGGGTCAGGTGAGTAATCGCAAGTAGCTAGGCTAGGTGGAGCTAGGTACCGCCCAATAGATGTTCTACAAAAATTAATTTGCTTTTCTCAGGCCACTACTACTCCGCCTGGGGATCCTCTTACTATACAAACATCACGCTGATTACAAGCATCAGTTGAACATACATTGAGCACATGCACGGCACACACAATGTCAACACAAAGGAACACCACACCAACCCGAACACTACACCTGTGCTCTGCGTTTCCGTCTTTTATACTGATCGTTTTTTACGTACGGAATTTCGGTGACTCCCGAAGCAATAAAAAATATTCCCAGCATGTTGATTTTTTTCCCAGCAATGTCATACCTCTGAGAGTATTTTGAATGGCTCAGGGGGTGAATCTCTTATTAAAAAGCAAACGCTTGATCATGCCGTAATTATTTGAGAACCCATAAATCAAGCAGCTCTAATGCGGTTCGAGGCCATGAGTTTGTTTCCCCACAAGGCACGTCGTAGCCTGTATTTTTATTGGTTTGCTGTTCGCGCAAAGCTGCAATTGCCATCTTGAATTAATTTCTGTAGAGCGGATATTCACTCAGCCGGAAGTGATGCTTCACGGGCTGAGAAATCGCTCTTCGATCAACTTGAATCCAGTCAAAGCCGCGACTTGCGGCAGGTGTTAGGTGTACGGAGCTACGCCGTGGCGAGCCCGAAAACTTCTAGCGCTCATCCCAGCGCGCCACTTGGAGAGCAGTTTCTCCAGGAACCGTAGTATATTGAAACAGCAAAATAAAGGGTAGCTTTCTTTTTCTCGATTTTATCTACTATTGCTTTTTAATGCCGAAATACCATACTGTAAATATACGTACTTTCCGTCACGATTTCGTACTGTTCAGTCCTTGCCCCAGAGCGCAATCGCTCTCGGGGACGAGACAATTCCGCCCGTCACTTTGGCCACTGTGCCATAGGAGCTTCCACTGTTCAGACCAGCGATCCAACATGACTATCCGCACGTTGATCGATTGCACGT